TGTGAGGACAGATATTTGCTGACGACATTGGCTAGTGGTCACGCTATGTTGTGAATCGGCAGAGGTTGGAATTCATGAGCCAGCTATTGGATAGGATTCCAGTGACTTAATGGTCTATGAGCTCGCTCGCCTTGTTACCAAAACGTCCTAAGTTTGAATGATGGCGGTGGGTGAGTAGTACCGAAGAGCCAGTCTCACACTAGTGGGACGAAACGGTTGTCTGACGGTACTCCCTGCAGATTTTCCAATGGTCCTTTAACCGATTTCAGCTCATGATGAAATCCTGTAACCAATCAATAAAATCCCTACAAATCAATACTTGAATACTTATGTATTTTGTCATAATTGTAAATCACTTTACAAAATAAACGATCTACTACTACCAAATATTATCGTCTTCCTCCATTTCATTTGGTGTCATTGTCCTAATACTATCAGTTAAAATTTAAGAAAATTATATTTCCATTCAGTTTTCTAAAACACTGAACATATTACTAAAATCCATTTCCAAGATCCATTGAAACATTTAACTAAGCATGCCTTTTTCAAAAACTAAACGTCTTACTTGTTGTTTTAACGAATCAACTTGTACGTTGAATGTAATTGAAGGGATTTTCAGTTTATGTCTCCCTAAAGCATCAAAACAGCCTTATAGAGAGGTAGACTGACATATTAATGGATAGACAGACACATAGACTACTTGAGTACACAAGTTAGACCGTGTTTTATTTAGCCTAGGATTATATCTGAAATCGATAATAACTATAAAAAAAAATAACATTTTTACATTAGTGTTATCATTATTTGAAATCATCGATTTCGCATAGTTTAAAAAAGGAAAATACATTTAAATAGGGTAGTTTAAGTTTTCTAACAAAAATTTATCCCTCAATGAAGGTTGTTGATCTTATCTAGTTGAATAAAAATGATTCTGTTTTCTGATAATCTTCCCGTGAAAAACATCCACTGAATGGAATCTGAACAAAGCAGATTATTTGTAAAAAAATATATTTGTAAAATCTCAGAGAAATTGAAATGAGTAATTCCAACGTTTCGTTCGACAATCTGGTCCGAACTTCTTCAGAGAAATTAACATAACAGAGGTTTATATGCAGAAAAGGGGGACATCTCTTGTTTTTAAAAAACTTTGTCTAATCATCAGTCATAAAACAAGTACTAACAAGTAGAATAAACTAAATTGTATGAGCTGTGATCAAAATTTGATCTCGGACTTACAAATATTGGCCTAACTTTGTTAAACACTTTAAACAGAATGTGTTTGTAGGTTTCCAGACCGTAGGTGTTACGAACTTCCTGGAATAATTCGAGCGCCGTGTCAGATTAATAAAAAATAATAATAATTTTTCCTTCACGTTCCCAGTGCAGAATAGGGCTTCAAGCTAGTGACTTGAAGTTTCTGTAGCAGTGTTTAATTTTACAGGATGGGGTTGCTAGCCTCATGCCCAACCTTTCCTCTTTACCAGCATTAGTTCTGGCTCAGCGAGGTAAAGGAGTGCGTTGGCGGCCGGGGATCGAACCCCGGAACTTGTGCATGGTCGGCGAGAGTCCCAACCGCTATACCACCTCCGAGTCAGATTGATTCATTATAAATTATTTAAATTAAGCTGTGGCTTACATGGCAAGACGTTCAGAAAAATCTTGTTTTGATTTTCCTAACACGCTGGGATTAATTTAAATAATTTATAAAGAATGTGTATGTGTGTGTGCACGCGTAAACAGTTGTAAAGCATTTGTTAACGTCTTCGGACCAGATAGTCAAACGAAATGTTGGAACTACTCATTTCAATTTCGTTGAGATTTTACAGTTATAATTTTTTACAAATGTCTATTTCTCACTCGACGCTCAAATATTTTAGAACTATTCTGTCAAATCTTGACTACAGTTCATTTGATTTATTTTGCAATCGAATTAAATTAACAAAGAAACTAGGTAGCTGGCACAATCATCGTGTTTTCACTCTCCGTTGTCTGCAACAAAATGCATATCCTAAATCCATAGCTGTGGAGTCACCTGACAACTCCAGTAGGTCGAATAAAGCAGCTCAATCTTCAGAAAGAAGACAGAGTAATAAGTTTGACAGGGTGCTTCAACTAAACTCTTATCCTAAACACCATAATTTTGAAAATACGTCTAATCATAAGATTCTAGATACTAACAGTTTGAACAGACATGAAGGTGTGATGTTAGCTGACGCATAGGAAATCCTGATTAATAAATAAGAATGGATATGTATCACTAACTAATAATACTTGGTCAAAGTTCCCGACTGTCTATATCTACTGATGGAGACGTTAAAACTGTTAAAACTGTTTATCCGCACACACACACACATACACATTGTGTTTAAAGTGTTTAACAAAGGTAGATCAATATTTGTAAGTCTGAGGTCAAATTTTGATCACAACTCATACAATTTTGTTTATTGTACATGTTGATGCCTGTTTTATGACTCATGATTGGACAATGTTTTTAAAAATAGATGTTCGTTTTATACATAAACCTCTGTTATGTTAATTTCGAATAATTTCTCTGAAGAAGTTTGGACCAGATTGTCGAACGAAACGTTGGAATTACTCATTTCAATTTCTCTGAGATTTTACAAATATAATTTTTCACAAATGTCTACTTTTCACTCGGCGCTCAAATATTTTAGAACTATTCTGTCAAATTTTGACGACAGTTCATTTGAAAGCAGATTATCCTTGATGAAACAAGTATATATATATATATATGTATATACACTGGAGTTTTAGCCTCACTCGGATGTTTTGAGAGTAGAGGTTGCTAGCCTAACACCCCACTTTCCCTCTTTTCAGGGCTTGCTACCGGCTAGAGGAGATTTTAGAAGTGCATCCATCAGGGATTGAATTCAGACCACTTTCATGGTTGGCGGGTATTCCACCCCTGAACCACTGACACTCTAGGTCTTTAATACTCACATAATACACACTAATATCATGCGAGCGGAAATCCCTTCATCCGAAGAATCAAAACTGTTCACTACCTAATAGTTTTTGGAACAACCTAGCTTATACTTTGGGTTTAACTATTTAATATAATTTACTTTAGATGTGTATTCGTTCTAAGTGATGGTGTAGGCTTTGCAAAAATTATTATTTCTGTAAAAGGAGAGAAATACTAAATAGGGACTCTCGTAGCCCTAGAGGGCCAAGTTAAACTTTAGAGCACCACTGATACTGTGGAAGATGGGTTATACCTTTTGAGAAAAATCCTAATAGAAAATGGATTTCCGCCACGTTTTATAGATAAGAATATACATTCAAATCCTTTAAAACGTGACTTATCATCTGCACCCAAGAAAATACTGTACATGAGCTTGAAATTCAAAGGGGATTTAGCTTCCGATATCAGAAACGAAGGATATCACAGTCCCTGAAAAGAACATTCCCTGCTGCATCTCTTAGAATAGCCTTTACTAGTCGACCATTACTGTTCAATAATCTGAAGGACAAGATCCCGCTGCTGACCAACTCTATGTGTGTGTTTATCAATTCACCTGCTCGTGTGAAGCTAGGTATATCGGTCGTTCGACTCGAGTTTTGTTCAAGAGGTTGCAAGAACACTATCCTGCATGGTTAGGAAAAGGTGGAAGTGGAGCAATAGGAAGCGCGATCGTTGAACATCCGGTCGATAATAATCACCCTATCTCTATAGCCTCCGCCTTTAAAGTCACCTGCAAGGCAAAATCACTACGTACCCAACTCATCCGTATTGCTGAAGCCATCTTCGACTATCGAAACAGAAAAGCCAGATCTATGTATACAAAAAAGTTCGTTCAATCCCTCCTTTCCAACTTTCATGGTCTTAATCCCTCTATGCCAAAGTATGGTAATCCCTAATCATATTTTAGCTCCACCAATTTTTCGTTTTGTCTGTTCAATTTGTATACTCCTCCTTTAATACGTCAATTGTTACTACTACTATTCTCACTTTGAACTTGTTCCACTTGTCAATCGAAATCAATTCTTTTTACAATGTTAAATTCTATGTTATCAAATTTCACACAATATTATGTAACGTTTTTATTTTTGCTCTATTCGATTTGTTTACTAATCCTATAATTGCACATCCCTTCCAAGTTCTATCCATCCTATGAATTATTCTGTCCAGTATTCCCAGGTTTTCCAGCGGTTCTCTAACTGACGTCAGCTCATGATGAAATCCTCCATGCAATATTCCATGTATGACATTAATTTGTTTTGCCACTTGACATTTAACTATGATTATAATCACAAACATCTTAGTTTTTAATTGCATTTCATACTACTATTATTATTTTATGCATTGATACCTTTAATTCAATTCCCTCACTGGATATAACTTCTTAAAATCCAAAAATATACGATTGTACAGCTTGATAATAAATTCGTTGAAAAGAGTCTCTTCGCTGAATCACTTGTTGAGATTTTCTTTAACAATAAAACTTGTGCACTGTGGTAGAGTGTAATTCCACTGTGGGTACAATTTATTCTGATAAAGTCTCACAGTGTTATACAGTAATATTCACTGATGCAACGTTTCGAGCACAATTTTTGTTCAGTATGTATTACTGTATAACTTTATCAAAGCAAATATTACCCACAATAGAATTACACTTTGTTAATACTCCAACCTAAAACTGAGAGCTATTTTTATCATATGTGACAGGAAGGTATTTTCTGTAACAATTTTATGCAGTTTTTATGCAATTTTTTCCATAAATATTTGTGTATTCCATACACACTGGTGCGTTCGAGGTCATTCGCTGATAGGTAGTTAGTGGTGCTAAAAGTTTAACTTTGCCCTCAAGTAGTCTAGTGACTAGTGCTCTGGCGTTTAAAACTAACAATACTGAGTTATTTTGTCATGGGAACATTATCACTCTCTGGGGACTGAAGATAGTTCCAAATGACGTGTTCAAAACAAGACGGATTCAACACATAATATACTGCATAATGACAACAAATACAAAACTTACCAATTTTATCAATTATTTGTTTACTGAACTGATACATGAATATCTCAGAAACATGATTTATCACTGATGCAATACCGAATAAAGTTGGGGATCCATTCAGCTCTTGCATATGCCAAAATAGAAAAGTGAATACCTGGCCTAAACCCAAACCCATAAACCAAATAACAAAGAGAAATAGCAATAATCGAGGTTGACGAAATTGTTTCAAGGCGTGGAACCATCTTGTTACCTACAGATGAAAAAAGTAAAATAAGACGATATATATGCATACGTTGAATATAAGGCATAAATTTAACGAACAAAAAAGGTTAATCCATAGAAAACGATGATTTAGATGAAAGGAGACCTAACATAACCGCAATTTTAACTTTTGTCTTGAGGAATGAAATACAGGCGGTCAGAATATGAGACAACACCCTTTCAATGTAGGTGTCTTTGTGAGCCTAGATTAGTTGAAGAGCCGTCGAAAAAGATAGATCTCTGGACAAGTGTTTCGTCCTATTTTGAGATCCTTCATCAGTGCGTACCCAGTGACTGCAAATCAGTACCTTCAAGTTACGAGGTGGGCATGGTGATCATTTAGCCGCTATAAAGGAATCCACTGGCTTGTGAACTATGACTTATATAAGTTAGCCTATGTCATTGTATTCCTTAACCTACCTGGGAAGCATCGTCTCACCTACAGGCGGACGGAGCTGACGAGAATGTCAAAGCAAGGGTCGGGAAAGAAAGGCAAGATTTCATTACTTTCAAGTCTGTGTGAAGGAGATTTACAGCACTCAGCATCAAAAATAAGATCCGGATTTCCAACTTCAATGTCAAGTGAGTCAGTGCTACTATACGGATCAGAGACTTGGCGCGTCATTAAGGGCACCTCAAACAGACTACACGTCTTCATCAACAACTGTGTTTTCGCTCAATGCTACTCAAGATCAGATGGCCGGCCAGAAAAGATCAGAAACAGGGATCTCTAGGAGCGAACCAACCAGGAACCGATTGCGAAAGAAATAGGTAGGAAGAAATGGAGATGGATTGGCCATACTCTGTGGGAACCATCAAGTGACATTACTAGACAAGCCCTTGCTCGATTGGAACCCGAAAGGGAAGCGGCGAGTTGGTCGTCCAAGGCTGACATGGAGGAGGTTATGTGAAGAGGAGATGAAAGCATGTGGGCAGACGTGGAGCCAGGAGAAAAGGTTGGCAGAGAACCAAAGGCAATGGAGTCGCGCGGCTGAAGCCTTATGTTCCTCTAGGAATTAAAGGAAACAATAATATAATAATGCTATTTTATAGCTTTATATCACGAAATGACGTAAGTTAGGATTCATGGGTTAGCAGAATCGGATCTAACATCTAATGAGTGAAAAGTTTTGCTTTCGATCCCGAGTGTTGTTGTAGACGCGCACTATTGAAAAGTCCTAAAGTGGAACAAAGTAGTCATCTGCTACTCCGTAGTTTTTAATGGATATCGACTAGCAACTAAATCTATTTTGAAGTCACTGATATCCATAAAAATCAAACATTTGAAAAACACTGTGGTCTATTGATTCTGTCAAGATCTCAAAGTTTAGGAGAATAATTACTGGTTAATGATACTTAAAAAATAATCGTGTACAAACGTAAAGAACTAATATTATTGAAAGAAATTGTGTAGAAGGTTATCAACATGGCATTGTTTAGTAATCAGCCGCTTAATGTTCTAAAATCATTAGATATAGTGACAAGTAAGCATCTGCCCAACTATACTAGCTAGCAGTTCAATAATAATCCACGATCACCTGCTTCTGGTACACTCATGTTATTATGGCTAATTCCTTTCAAAGCGTCAGATAAGAAACTAAATAGTTGTCTAGTGAAGTTTGGTTAGTGCTTAAGTTATGGCAGTATTGTCTCGAACTCTTATAAAACACCACTCAGAACTATGTGGTGATGCCATATAACAAGTGATTTACCATGGAAAATTCAATGAATTCTTTGAAGGGAAAACTGGAGTCAGGTAAGACTACCTACTATCATCGGTGATATTCTTGATTGTGGACGAATGTATCATGCGGCAGATTGTAGGGAGCGAAAGGACTGCGCACAGATAAGAAGATTGTAGAAGATCTGGATTTCACGGATGATTTGTGTCTAATGTTACATAAGCTCAAAGATCTGTAGATGACCACCTACTAGTTGGCAGACGAGCCTGTCAGGTAAGACAGGATTTCAAGTGAACATACAAAAAACAGAGGTGACAAAGATGACCAACCAATAACGACAAGCATCAGTCACTACTAACGGAAGAAAGTTGGACTAGGTCAGTTCTTCGTTTATTTGAGTAGCCCTGCTTCAACTACAGGTAGCGGGGACGAGGAAGTCAAAGCCGCTTGCAACTGGAAAAGCCAGACAAAACTTCATTACGCTGAAGTCAGGAGTCAGATCTTCAAAACTAATGTCAGGCGAGTGCTTCTGTTTGGTTCAGGGACTTGACAAGTGAGTCACCAGAAACATTTCCAACGAGGCTACTTCAGATATTCAACAACATTATGCATAATTCCATTGTGGGTAAAATTGTTTTTGATAAAATCTCACAGTGTTATACAGTAATGTTTACTGATGACGTTTCAAGCACAGTTTATTGCTCATGATCATATCAAGGCACTACTCACACAACTTGCTAACTTCGTTTATATAATTCCATTATTTTTCATTGCTAGATTTGATTGGTAGTAGTATTTTGCATATTTCCGGTATGAGTGATGAGCCATTCTTTCTGCAAATGTTAGTTGTAGACTCGATGAACAAGGATTTAGTAATCAACCTCTCGCTCCACCTATCTAGATTACTTTTTAGAATTTTAACCCTCTCCCACCCACCCTATTGTGTGGTTGTGTGTTAATCCATGAAGTGCTATTGCTGAGATTTCTAAATGACTTATCTTCTCGGGGTCAATCATTCTTGCCTTAGTTAAATTCTTATGTTCCGACCATCTGATTACTCCTGACCTACTAGTTTGACTTATGCAGTTGATCTCACAGTCATTGCAAGATATTTTGTAAATTATATTATTTTGTCTAATTGGGTTAACCTACAGAGTCCTTCAACCTACAGAGTTTGTCCTACCTGGGTGAGTTTGTAGGTTTAAATGCTACCCTAATTCCTACTTTATTAGGAATCCAACGTAGAGAGGGTCTCAGATGTCCCCCCCCCTTATATGGTACAATAGTAGATGCCTTATATTCTTTCTTATTTATGTTATCATTACTAGTTCCACAATTACTTTTATTTTATATTTTCGTCTTTACTGATCTTCCTAATGAATTTTATAGGATAGTTATTTGATGCCAAAGCCTCTTCTATCTGTTTTATTTCATCATTTAGGTCTTTTCTTGTACTGCTTAGTGCTACTGCTACCCTACGTAGGATTCTGAATAAAGCAGGAATTAAAGTGACATCTAGATCTACAAACTCACTAAGGTAGGACAAGCACTCTGTGATGGCAGCATACAGATGAAGACCTATATTCCGCTCAGAACCCAAGGAAATAATAATATTTAATAAATTTTTAATATTGATTTTTTGTAGGGATTTTGCTTGATTGGTTAAAGGATTTCATCACGAGTTGACCTGGGTTCTGGGTTAGAGCCCCAGCGGGTGTGTACTGATGAAGGGTCCCAAACTAGGCAGACGAAACAACTGTCCAGTACTCCCAGGTGGTTGGTTTCCCAATGGTTCTCTAACTGATGTGTCAGCTCATGATGAAATCCTCCAACCAATCAAATTTTTAGTAATCATTCAAGGAAAACACGTCATTAAGAAAAAATATATATAGATAATTTGGTTTCTGTGAGGTGAAAATTTCTTCTGCACATATTTGTGCCAGTTGTACAAAGAAAGACTGAGTGATCAGAAATCACAATAAAGTAAAAAAAATGGGTAGAAATTGAATAGTACACTTCGTTAAATAAGAACCATGATATATTTGAACAAAGCAAGAATTACAGTTTTAGCAGAATAAAATGGTACCATCTTTTATTTCGTTGCCTTCTCGTCAGCTGCTTACATGGCAAAGACATTATTAAATATATATCTACAACAACAATTTTAACATACTTGCCCACACAGAGTTCAGTTTAAACAAAAAGCAATCGATCAATATACTCATACACTAAAAATATATACATATATAAATATGCAATATTAACCACTATTCCGAACAATAATAATCAAACACAATGGAAACTTTTAGCATTTCACATTCGGATGAAGGAGAGGTGAAATTATCCAGTTACCAGGGCAAAGAAAGGCTGATAACCGCTTCTTTCTGGCCGCATAAATCAGGTTTCAGGCGCTTGATGGAAATGGCTTCAGTAAACTTAAGGAGAATTGAGCTATTTTGCTTACTGATAATTTTGAACGACTCTCCGACGTCCACCTCATGACTTGTGTCGAGAAGATGCCTGGTGATGTGAAATGCTAAAAGTTTCCATTGTGTTTGATTATTATTGTTCGGAATAGTGGTTAATATTGCATATTTATATATGTATATATTTTTAGTGTATGAGTATATTGATCGATTGCTTTTTGTTTAAACTGAACTCTGTGTGGGCAAGTATGTTAAAATTGTTGTTGTAGATATATATTTAATAATGTCTTTGCCATGTAAGCAGATGACGAGAAGGCAACGGAATAAAAGATGGTACCATTTTATTCTGCTAAAACTGTAGTTCTTGCTTTGTTCAAATTCATTAAGGGGAATAAATGTATGAAACCATGATATAAATAGGTATCTTATCAGTGGAACTGCTTTCACAATTTTTTGTTCAAAGCTGTGTTTGGAAAGCCCCAATCGTTTTTCATATTAGACAAGCGTCTACACTGTCTCTTTTGTTTATTGAGGAAGAGTATATGCAGCTGTATAAGGTTTTCACAACACTTGTTTATATCTCTGTCTAAAGAGTGACCTGCTTCTAAGATATTCTTTATTTCAAAGGAGAAGAATTTTTCGAATGGAGCTGAATGTCCTGAATTGACCACATGTTCTGTCACTGAACTATATACACGTTTGCGTTCGCCTTTTACTAGCCAGGATGGATAGTGTTCAAGAGCGCGTTTTTCAAGTTGGCGCACGGTACCGCCGATGTACTCAAATCCGCAAGAGCAAGTAAACTGGTATATCCACGTTAAAGTGGCCCAATGCGCCGGCTTGTCTTTCACGTTCTGGTTGAACAGTTTCTTTCAGGAAAACGTCAGTCGTAGGGTTGAGACGAAGTTTATATTCCTCAGAGATTCGCAGAGGTGTTTTTACGAAGGATTTCTGCTTCAATGTCCCCTTTGAACTCTAGATTAAGCAGAAGTATCTCCTTCGTGACGGATAGGACCTGTTCGGAAGTCTTCTTTGATTTGAGATTCTTGTCTATGAACCTAGGCGGAAAGCCGTTTTCCATCAGGGTTTTTTGAAGGTTATGCAGTTCTTCATCAACCACTTCCTCGCTGCATATATTTCTAATCCTCTTGGAAAGAGCGTATATCAGGTTCCTCTTTCTGCTTAGAGGCACGAAGCTTTGAAATTTGATGAATTGTTCATTCCATGTAGGCTTTTTGTATATGGAGCTTTTCAGAGAGTTGTCAGGGTTTCTTTTCAGATGGACGTCGAGGAAGTGGAACATTCCGTCGGATTCAAATTCAAGGATGAAGTCGATGTTTAGGTGGGCATTGTTGAAGGTTTGAAGTAAGTTTTAAAGGTCTAGGTTCGCATAAAAAATGATGAAAGTATTATCAATTTATCTCTTTTAAAGATGGAGGTCAGTGATGGTCGATAACAAAAAGTTGTTTTTGAGGCTGGTCATAAGACAGTTGGCCAAGAGGGTTCCCAGTGGAGAGCCCATGGCTACACAACCATCATTTGCCTTCTGTGACATAAAATCTGTCTCCCTACCATTTGATGATTTTATGTCGATGAACTTTCATGTGTATACATGCTACTGATATATCTTATCAGTAGCATATGCCTCACCATTACTTCATGTAATGACTTCAAGAATAACTTGTCTTTCTAAGATAAGTGTAGGTACTAACAGGTAAACATAATGTTTTATACAAATATACAAATAATTCACTTACTTTCAGCTGTGCAGCAGCCGCTAACTCCTCTTGTCTTGTATCAATTGAATTTTGATTTTTAATCGTATCACCACCATCTTTACGATCAAATTTTATGCCCAGTTGTTTTTCTAATATTTCTTCATTACTCTGTTTACTGCTTTTTGTTCCACTGACAAATGTAGCCTTTTCAAATTCACTAGACATTTCACTTGGTTTCCAGTCTTTACCAGTACCACTTGTCGCGGTAGCCGCTTGTTCACCATATTCCTCTTCATCTTCATTAACCAACTTTGAACGATTTTTAGTTTGTCTACCCAAAAATGTTTTCGCCATCTTGTCTTTAACCAGCTTAAAGTACATACTTTCTGAATCCCCTCATATTGAAAAGTGAATTGTGTAGCAATGAACAGAGCACAGGCAATAAAAACTGAATATGTGGCAAAACAGACCATATAATTTTTCTCACGATAACCAGGATGTAAGCATGGATAGTCTGGAAAACTTGTTGAATGATCCAGGGTTAAACCAATAAAAAACATTGACAATGCCCAACCAAGTGAACCAGATATCCGTTGTCTTTCATAACTATTGCATACTTCAGTGACGCCTTGTTGTACAACAGCAGCATCGACTATAGGGATAGCAGCACATGACATAATCTCACCAAATATTAGTAGTAATAAGATGACAATAAATATTTGATTAATTTTTGTTTGACTATAAACGACAGTTGAATAAAGCGGCATAACAAGACTACCAGGTGGATATTGTGTTGGATCATGATAGGCCTGCGTTCTTGCATAGAGGTTTTGATCCCCAGTCTGTTGGCCAACACCACTACCCCAACGTGTAGCTTTCATTTTCGGTGGAGAGACTAACAGTTTTGTATTTAGATAAAGTGGTGATTGTCCCAATTGATTGCGTATCTTTAAAGCTAAATCTCTATCCATATCAACCGATTTGATATCATCATATCTTGATGCTTTGTAGGGTTGAATAATACTCAGTATTAAACCATCTTCACCATCATCGCTGCCTGTTTGTGTTGTATTGTATCGTGCTGCTGATGATCTTGGTAGACTAACCAGACAACCTTCTGGTGTTGGACGTACAAATCCGAGGCCAAGTGTAAATGCCATAGCACAAACTAAACTCACAAGGACAAACATTTTACCCTTTTTCCACTTGTCAGCTAATGCAATCCAAAATGGCACGGCGAAACATTCACACAATGCACGTGTTCCACTTAATATCCCACATTGTAAAGCATTTAAACCGAGTTGTTTGAAATAAATTGATATCAAGGGAAATAGGGAGCCGAATGCTGCATAATAGGCGAAGTAGAACAGTTGAAAGATTAATAATGATCGATCAAAGTAGGAACGAAACCATTCCATGAAATGTTTTCTTGATGTAAATATTGTAGCAATACTTGGTGCTTCTTGTCCACTTGTATACTGAGTATCGATTGGACTGAATTCATTCTTGTTCATTTTTGTGTGTTTGTGTGTGTTAACTAAAAACAAAACAATTGTAGAAAATCAAGGTCAGCTGTGTTTTAAACAAAAGTTATTATTATTATTACTCTTATTTATGTTTGATGTCACACAAAATCGAAGACTTACAAGCGAAAACCGACCGACAAACTGGCCGGTCGAAGAAGCAGCCGGCGAAGACAGGACTCCATCTAGGTGAACATAGACAAGACGGAGGTTATGAAAATAACCAACCAACCAACACCACCACCAACAACAGCAGAAACATCCAGCGCCAATCACCATCAACAGGAGGGAGGGATTTGAAAGAGCTTACTTCATTCACTCACTTATCTAGCATTGAGCACTGTCTCAACTACACGAAGTCGGAACGGACGAGGGTGTCAAATCGAGCGAGAATCGGGAAGACGAGTGAGAAATACATTCATCAACCTGAAACCAATCTGGAAATCTTCGTCACTCTGCATCAGCAACAAAATTCGGATTTTCAATACAAACGTCAAGTCAGTCAATCAGTTCTTATATACGAATCAGAAATTTGTCGGACGGGTCACAAATAATATTTCCAACAGGTTGCGATGCAGACCTTTATCAACAACAACTGTCCTCGCTGGATCTATACTGAAGATCAGATGGTCGGGCCGGAAAGAATCACCAAGAAGAAACTATGGGAACAAAACAAAACAAGAACAAACCAATCGCCAACCAACAAATATACAGCAGGAGAAAGTGAAGATTGATGATTGGACACTCTCTGAGGAGGCCGCTGGGTGACATCGCGCGGACGTCAGGCCATTGCTCGAGTGGAACCAGGCCGAAAGGGAAGCGGCGAGTTGGTCGTCAGTGTAAGGGTGACATGGAGGAGATCGTGTGAAGAGGGGTTGGTTGAGAGAGTATGGACTAACATGGATGCAGGTGAAAAGTACAGCAGAAGACAGAAGCAAGAGGAGGCGTGCAGTTGAAGCCTTATGTTCCACTAGGAACCCTAGGGAACAATAATAATAAATAATAATATTACTCTTATTTTTGACTGGGCACTATTCAGTAACTAGTGTCATGTGTTTAGTCTTTTTTGACCTGGCCGTTGAGAGTGGAAGACACGAAAAGCCTGGCCGGCCAACTGTCTTTGATCATAGGTGCTTGCTTTCTATTTCCCGTCTTAAGTGGTATGATAGGGTGAGCAATATTGAGGTTAGGCGTTGAGTGCTAGGTAAGGGGGGGAATCAATAAACTAGTCTGTGTAGCTACATCGATTGGTTAGGACATGTGTTACGTATGTCTAGCCATCGCCTTCCTCGACAGCAGACAATGTTAGCTGACACAGGATGGATCAGGCTGGAGAATAGCTAGTGAGTGGTGATCAAGCCAAAACATGACTTCATCAGTCAATGAAATCCACAAGAGTTAGTTTAAGCCAGCCAGCCAGTCACGTAGGAAGGTGTAGACTTCCTGACTGGTTAGGGTCCTCGGGACGGTAAAAACCAGTGAAGGCTGGAAACAACTCATGTTGATATGGCTCAAAATCGTTGTCAGTGACTGGCTGGCATAGACGCATCCACTCCTTGTAACTTATAAAACCCAATGAAACTATATTGTTCTTTGTTATTACTATTCCTTTTTGCCTCATATCTCTGTTCACTGTCTCTATTTTGCTTTTCTTGTACTTTCTTCTCTTGCTTTGTGTGCTACATGGAGTGTGGCAACTTGAACTGCTGCACATTGGTGCGAAATTCTATGTCTAAAACAGACAGACAGTCCTTTGTTTACTGTAGACTGAATTCTATCAGTCAAGTTTACAATGTGGCCATCGTGATATTAGGTGGCTTGCCATCATGGTACACTCAGGATTGTTCTTATTAGATAGTGAGAGGCAGTCGACAGGAGATCTTGAACACAGGTTTCGTGCTGGTAAGCACTTATCAGCAGGGATTGTCTGCTGACACATGGCAGTAGTTAGTGTCCAATCAAAGTACATCCAATACATTCCCACAGGAGGTTAATCGCGAGCTTGAATCGCTCAGTGGTTCCTTCAAGGTGATTGCAGATACGCCTTGCTGACTGGTATGTGCCAACATGTACGAAACCTAGGTCCAAGGTTTCCTTCCGATTAACTCCAACCATCTATTACTATTAATACTAAAACATAAGCTTGGTATATTATGGACACCAAAAGACGCACCACATAAAGTCTAATAGTTTGTGTGCCTGGATATCCAAATCAAAGCAGATGGTTATCTTAAGGGATCATGTCTCAAGCCTTTGACATGAAGCTTAATTCACAAGGCAGGGAAACAACGTCAGGAGTTATGCTTCTATGGTTTCCAGTGTCCAAAACAGGTTCATGTGCCATTGCATCCATCCATATTCTAGGTCCTATATGTAACACAGGTTTGGAATCAGGGGTTTCTTTGGTAGATGTGTATTTCAACCAGCCCGGTTTCAAGGGCCACTGGACGTTCGTATTCACACTCCTACTTTTGTGAGGAACATCAACAAGTGAAGGCAGTGGATAGGATTTACTTGGCAGAGGTAGGCTATGAATGTGTGGCAGAATTAGATTATTTCACGATGGTCATGGGATGACCCTTTCAGCAGTTTCGGAAATGGTAATGAAACTTAGTGAATATATAACCAGTTACAAAAGTTACGCAAGATGAGAAACTGAAAGATCAGAAGAGAGACATAAAGACTGTTGTGATAGAAAACAGTGCAAAAAGCCAGGGATTTGGATTTGCTGCTAACTAGCGAAGGTGTAAGGGCGCATCAACCAGGAATCGAACCCAAACCAATTAAGTGGTTGGTAAACATACTACGTCAATCTTTATGTCCCCAATATTGGTCGTGAGAAAAATGAGAAGAAAGACTTTGCGTAGGCGGATACAGTTAACATATAGATGATCTGACGTTCACGAAACAGCCACAAATAGATGAAAGAATAACTTTCAGTGAGAAACAACCACCAATCAGAAGACTGTGTTTGTTTTTCTGCTTACAATAATCTATAATATGTACGTGAAAATTTATATATGTGTTGATTTCCTTAATAAACGATCTGTTGCCTGGCCCTTGTCTTCTGTTGTTACACTTTCACTATACTACTTACGTTTTCTTTTTCGTAAGTTTCGTGATAAAATTTAATTCCTGGTAAAGTACTGGATAGCTGTTTCGTCCCACTAGCTTGGCACTGGCTCTTCATAAGTACCCACTTACCGCCAGCATTCGAATTCAGTACCTTCTGGTTACAAGGCGAGCGAGTTCTCTCGCAGACCATTAAGTCATTGGGACCCGATCCAATGGCCAGCCGCCCATGAATTCCGACTTCTGCCAATTCATGACATCAAGCAACCGCTAGCCACCGTTATCGTTGGCGAGTATCTGTCCTCACATCCGACCTGTTGTGTCCTACTGGTCAAGACTTCTCACTGGAATCCTAGGTTATTATCTACCTGAATTGGAGCAGTCACTAGTGAGCATCTCATTGATATTCAAGTATTGGTTTTTTTTTGGAGATTTTTCTCTGGTTACTGGATATCGACTATTGAAGATCTTATATACTAGTATACTCTTATATTTATAGCTGATATATTTGTTAAATACACTTAAAGCTAATCGTCTATACTATAAGACAAAATGGGACATATCCATGATTTATCTTTCATATAAAGTAAAAATAATTAGGGCATAGAATAGGATGAATTCAAAATGAATTTTGTTTAAAAATCTTTTATGATGTTATGCAGGACTAAAATTGTTGGAAAAATAAGGATATGTATATATGTTACACCGATAAATCGATGAGTTATGTAACCTGGAAATGGTTTCAATTGTCATTAACGACACTTGAAATGAACATTGTACTTTTAGATTCTTTTAAGTTGACATAATTTATAGTATAAAGTGAAATGCGAAACAAACTTATCTGAGCATAAAGAACACTCCATTATGATTAAAAATTTATTATTTTGATAAAATCACACAGTGTGTTGTTAAACAGGAAGTGATATTTACTGATGACCACTTTGCAAGCACAAATTATCATTGCCACTCATAATCATATCAAGGTACTCACTCACACAACTCCCTTTCTTGCTTCATTTATACACATGAGTAAACATTGATGCGATAAGACATTTGGTTGAATAAAATCAATATAAGATAAAGTACATTCAGAAATAACAATAATATTAGTGTTGTCAATCAAATACAATCAGATAGGAAGGGAAATAAGGTGTTTTTATAGTAAAATAAATAAGTAACTTGTTAGAATGTTATAATGTATGTGAATTGAAATAGAATTTTAAGATTATTTATTATCCTTCTCTGAGTTGACTGACTGATGGCAATAATGTCTTCCATACATATCTTTAGTATTTGCATTGAGTCACTTCTATTGCATGTGCTGTATTGGGTGTAAACTCTCCCTCTCTCCATCTACCCGTATTACCTTTTAGAATTTTGACTCTGTCCAACCCACCCTATTGTGTGTGTGTTAATGCATACAGTACAATGCAGTGTTGAGTTTTCGTCTAAATCACTTTTCTTCGCGGGTGGGATCAACCATTCTAACCTTATATATGTCCAAATCAAGTTCAATTTTAACGGTTTGAAAAAATTCACTTCGGAATCAGGCAGAATCAGACATCGGTGAACTACCATTTCTAGACTGCCCGCTTAGTTAAGAGAAAGGAAAATGGACATTTTAGTATATCCATATTCAGGAAGAAAACCCACTCCAATAAATATTTAGACTTCAAATCATCACACCCCATCAGCGCAAAGATTTCAGTTGTTTCAAGTCTTCTTAGACGAGCACACTATCTGATAACAGATGAGCAAGAAAAAGAAGAAGAAATTTCAAACATCACTGAAACTCTCAAGCAAAACAACTACCCAACGAACTTCATCAACAAAATCAACACAGACATTAAGTATGGCCGAAAATGCATTCCGAAAACATGGACTTCAACAGTCGTCATTCCATATAGAGCAGAGACGTCAGACGATATCAGAAGAGTACTCA